GTCAATTGCTTGGATAATAGAAAGAAAGGAAACTACGCGTTGTTTGAGGCAATTAAACCATTTGTTTGTCAGTCCTTCTAACACAACTTTGTCTCGCCGAAATGTCGCAATGAATTGAATGTGTAGTAAAATTAATCCGGAAAAAGTTTGCGTAATAGTGTACTATGAAATCATTTTTAAAAATGTTAGTTAGCAGATAGTAACGAGTAGTATGTTCCTACTTCTTGCTTTTGAATTTCTAGTCAGTGTTTCTTCTTGGATGGAAAGTAAAAATGAATATTATAAAAGTATTGTCAGTTTCAAACAGATTATATAGAAAATGGCGCTGTATTTTCTGTAATAGGATTGCATCGAGAATCAAGAATCGAGAATTACAATTAAATTAGTTGAAACACTCCGAAATTAATCACAGGAAGCGGCCCAAACTAAAAAGTAATACGAAAAACGCATACAAAACTCGCAATTCCGACCAAATAAACACAATTCAAATATTCCAACGTCCGCAGTCTACCCTCGCCCGTTCAACCGATTAGAAATCGTTCCCCGCCTCGACTCACTAAATAATTCCGCTGCGTGTAACGAATCGCACGAGGGGCCAACTTTAATAGCAGGAACGTGGAGTGCCCGATCCGTTGGGTTACGGAAAATATTATATCATTTCCAATACGGGGGCCTACGACGCTCGAATATTAATAGGACGGGTCGGAGTTCGGTCACGTAACGCCACGCCAACATTTCCATGCTCTGTTTCTTTTCCCGCGACCCCTCGGCCGCTGCGGGGCAAGTTATGGCGGCAATAAGTAAAACAGATTTCGCGGGAACTGCCGCTCCGGCAAGCCCCGCGAATGATAATTTAACTTCGTTAACGTTTATACAGTTCCGCGAGTTTCCCCCGCCCCGTACCCCCGCGTTTCCCTCGTTATTATATCCGGCCTGGAACTCGATCGCCAACGGGACAAACAAGCTATTCTCGCGTACTTTCCTTTCTTCTTCTTTTTCTTTTCCGTTTCCTTTCGTTCCTGTCTTTTCTCCTTCGGAAAAAAAAAGAGTCCGCGAAAAGTTGCCGGCCGATATTGAGTTTAAGAAGCTTGAAACTATGTTCCCGTCCACGGGAAAGTTTGCTCTTTTTCTCGGTGAATGTCGCTCCTTTTTTGTCCTCGGTCCCTTGCGATACCGTGTCTCGCCGGACTTTATTATAACTGCCGCGGAATTTAATATGGCGCGCGATTGTGGGTCGCGGGGATCTTTGTTGTAGGGTATTAAATTGTTTCGCATGCTGATTTCGGTAAACGATAGTCCTTCTTGTTCTTTGGTAATCTTTTTTTCATTGAAACCGACGGAGATCGCTTTGCGCGTAGGGAACTTGAATGGGGATTTTATTAGTTGAGAGATATTGTGTTGTTCAATGAGAGGATTGTCTTTTACTTAGTCTTCTTGAAGCTGTGAATTGTGATTTTTTAGTTTTTTCGTTGTATAGGGTGAGCGTTTGCTCGATGTAAATGAATTGTTTTAACTGTTATAGTTTGTGACTATATGTTCAACTTCTAATCGTGCGTTTAGATGTTGCATAGTGGAACGATGAGCTTCTTTCAGTAGCTCTTTTAAGTTCGTCTAGAATATTCTTGGATATGATTAATTACAGCAACGTGTTTGCTCGAGTTTCACTCGCGATACTGAATCTCGGGTGGAAAAGTAGTTTAATATTCGACCCTGCACGCTCCTCCAGCAATGTATCATGGAACCTTTCAATGTTTTCTAAACTTGTTTCCTCCATCGTCGTAAATTCCAATGTTAATAAGCTGATTTGGGAACTGTACTGACTCAGTCTCTTAATTCTCATGCTCGTGTTCTCCTCGTGTAAAATATGTAGTTTTAAATTTATCTGTAGAAACTAATCTAATCTAAGACTCTATTCGTGTAAAAAAAACTTTTACTTTGACCTATAATATCGTGTCACTGGCGACGAAAGTTTTAAACTAAATTTGACAAACCTGAATGTTATTTTTTTTTAATATAAATTAAATATTACAGCTTTTTAAAACATGGATACTTCGACCACCATGAAAGCACAAGCACGAAGCCCGTAAGCGTATTAAAATCAAAACACAGTCACGAGAAACTAGGACCAAGTTTATCGCCAAAATATCATTGTAAGACTGTACTTTCATTCAAACTTAAAAAAGAATATTATAGATCAAGGAGTTAACACTATGTCTACCGAAGGCGTCAAAAGACACCCTTCAAATTTCAAACTTAAAATTATTTTCCAAGTTTAGTGACATATTCTGAATTGACTTTTCGGCTTTTCCAATAACGATTATAAAATTAACTGTGGGAAATGTCCAAAATTCAATTGAAGAAGAATAATTAAACTGAGAAAATAATTGTAAGTTAAAATTTCAAAAGGTGTCTTACGACGAACCCTTTGCATTCGAGGGCCGCCTTACAGTCACCTGATTCGACGCAGCGAACTTATAAAATTTTCAATTCAATATTAAACCTTGCGTACTGTATCAACACATAAAACATCGAAGTAAAATAATTCTGTCTCTTAATTTATATATGATAATCAATTGTGTTAGTTGCGAAAAATATCGTAATACTTAGTCAGAAGGTAATAAATATTTTTAATGAAAAATATTGTCGAGTGCGAAGGGTTAATATCGGCTAATAACAATAATCCTCCACCGAACGCGGTAACGCCAGAGTTGTCCAAGGCCCTCCAGAACAAAATGTAATCGCGATTCGTTTCCGGGCGCGGGCTCTTAATTTCGCGAGAACCTCAGTCCTCCTCTGGGAGGGCCTGGCAGCGAGCTCTGCTTTAATCCGATCGGATCTAACTTCCACGCGAGCGCCGTCACGGCACAAAGTGAAAGAAAAACGGCCGCCGGGGGATCGGGACGTCCCAAAAACGTCCCCCGGAGGGACACGGGCGGACCGTCGCCCGCGCAATACTTAAGGCGCTCGTTTTTGCCTGTGTAATTAAGCGGCACGGGACGAAATAATGGCCGGGGAGGACGTGGGACGGGGACAGTTGGGGGTTAGACAACAACAAAGGCGAATCTCTGGTCGCTACGAGCAAGGACAAAGCACTGCCAGCGTTGCGGACGTTCACTTAGCGCTTGGACTTTATTTGGTGTGTATACAGGGTGCACCATAACGCGTGGGACCTAATTAGGAAGAGGGAGGAGGGGAGAAATTAAAATAGGTCGTGTGATGGTAATTTCTATTTGAGTTCACTAGGCAAATCGATTAACACAAAATGAAAAATAGATGTGATGCTGTAGTTATATATCGATTTTGAAAATTTCAATAATAGTCATTGTAGAATGCATTTTACTTTATTGTTGCAGTTGAAATCTATTGATCATGGAAAATGTGTGGAATGGTATATGCTTGAGTGATTTTTATTGTTATCGCAGTTGTTACATGGACACGACTTTTAATTATTCGCAATTCAGTTGTTATGAAATTTGTTTTAAATGTGTACAGTTAATTGAAGAATTGAGTAATATGCACTTTGTACGAGGTTTTTGGAGAATTGAAGTTGAAAGATTATAGCAAAACGTGTGTAGATTTAATTTATTCGAATACGAAATTGTAGCTAGTTATATTTTGTGTGCTATATTGTAACAGTAATTACAATGAAGTACGAGAGCATTGCAGTTGAAAAGTTATGGCGAGAAGAATATCGCACATGTTAGATTTAATTTATTCAAGTGCAAACTATATCCAATTATGTTTTGTACATTACTTTGTAGTATGTAATCTTATGTAAGTGTTATATAATAATATTTGATAAATTATATGATATATAAACCTTGTTCCCTATCGAATCCTGCGTTGACACCGATACATTATGGTGCACCCTGTACTATATTAGGTCCCGCGGGCGGTCTCGCTAGGGGAAAATAGATGGCATCGAGAGTTCGGTGGAAATTACTCTTTAAATAAAGTTTTAATTGCTCGAGAGCTTTTCAAGAGCCCCGCGAACTTTCGAAACTAAACGTTCTCCGAGTTATGTTTCGGAACGATCCTCGGAACTCTGTTTATTAAATGAGGAGGCAGGTACGAAACGTACACTCTTTGAAAGTCGAATTAAATTATAGTGTACGAAGCAAACGCTAGAGTTCCCCCGTTCGAATCGGTTCCGCCGTTGAAAGAACCGCTGTTTGATTTTCAAAGGCGGAAGATGTAGCGAAAATGTTCGAGAAACCCGAGGAGATTATAGAATTCTATGGGGAACGTGTAAACACGTTTATAAAGAATGAAACTGTTTCCTTTTCCTTAATTCTTTTCCAAACTTGATTCTTGCGCAATGTTTCAGCCTATTTACTATGGAATTTATAAATAAATTCATGTGCTTCGATGGGATTTTAATCTTTTATAAAACAGACCATTCGATTGTATTCCAATCGTTGTGTGTTCTTTGAATTTTCGAGGTTTTCGTGATATTGTAATCATAACGTATGCAAACACAATTTTAGTGCTTGTCAATATTTTCAAATGAATCACTGCTATATTAACACTAGAACTATCAAGCAGTCAAGTTGACTTTTCAAAATTTTTCTATGGAAACTATAAGAGTGCATCTATCGAGACTTCGGTTACTCAAAACTTAGTTTGGATATTACTAAAACAATTTCTTTAGAAATTTCTTAGAGAAGGATCTGTTGATTTTTCAATAATTGTAAAAGAATTTAGAAATGGGTCATTTCGACCCATCGAGTAGTTCTAATGTTAAACTACCATTAAATTATAGAACGTACAAGTTCCAGAGAGTAAAACTGAGTATTCTGTTCTTCGCGAGTGATTAAATTAACATTCAATTCCATTAATAATTCCAATAATTTATAAAGAATATATTATTCTTTGTATTTGTAAATAATAACTATTATACGGATTGAATATTAGAATTAATAAGTGAACATGCGCCAAATTCGTATCCGATTCCGAATGCACACATTTTTAATGAAATTAAAGTGTAAAGGGAAACTCACCCTTAAGCGCCGTTTCGAGTCCACGTAATCTGCCAACAATGGAAGCGAGCTGTGACTTGTACTTCAGACTGTCGGCCTCGGATTGTTCGTTGAGTGCGCGGTTCAGATTTCTCTCAGCCTCTCGCTCCTTTACCGTGAGTGCCTCTCGAAGATGATCGGTGTGCACCTGCTCTTGCAACTTCAGCTGCCGCCGCATCTCGTCTTCGAAGTTCTTCTGCTCCTCCAGAATCTGAAAATGAATCGAAACGATCCGATTTATAGTCGTTGTTCTTCTCGCAACACTGTGGGAAAGTTATTTCCTTTGAAAAAATTGATAGACACCAGATTCCTACACTTTTGTATAAAATACAAACTTACGAAATGCAATCAAACGTAAAATCTTCACTTTAATGTAGCGTTACAATCATTAATAGAGAGACTAATTTTTTGTTATTTTACATTAAGCGTCATCAAGAAATTAATTTCATTTAGCATTACGAAATTTATGTGTAATACTATCGATCAGTTTACTATCAATCTAACACCGAAACTAACGAATTCATGTACATACTATAAAATAGAATATTAACCCCTTTTTCATACCAAAAGACAACTGACCAACCCTAATGTCCCCAAATTAGTTCACGAAACCTCGAAATCCACTAACAACGAGCAAACTCTATAACGTTCTCCGTTAAACTGACCAGAAAACTAAGAGGCAGCGGTGAAGTTCAAAGGACAGACGCGAAAGGCGAAGTTTAATCCGTCAAAGGCGAGATTTCGAAAGGACGGGGACCATGACGAATGCAGACGTGGATATGAAGATATTCCCGAGGAGAAAAGTGTTTCATAATATTCCGCGACTGAGCTTAATAATTCTGATCCCGTTGAAAGCCTCCCCGGCGGCTCGTCTCGCGTCTTATAAACTCGGGGAAATAAGGGTGCACTTGACCCAATCTTCAACGCGAAACAACGTGAAACAAAGGGAGCGAGGCAAGCGGCAACCGAAAGAAGAATACATATTCCTGTTTCGTTGTATCTTCTCCCTTTTTTTCCGTGTCCCTTGCGTTCCCTCTATCTCGATGCACTTGTTTCGCGAATGTGTACGTCCCCGTTCCGAATGCCGTGTCTTGGAACACAGAGGGGTGGTTTCGTTCGCTGCCTCGGTTTTTGTCCCACATCGCTGCAGTCTTGCCTCTATCCAAGCTTTCCAGGACTGATGAATTTTAACGCGTTCTTGCTTTGGAACGTACACTGGAGCGAAAGTATTTCTGTGTACACTGCTGATTGAGCTAATACCGTCCAATGGGGTGGGAGATTTTTCTAACCGTGGGAGTTTTTGTTTTTGTGTTACGTTTTAATTGGAAATTGTTCATTGCAGATGTGAGAGTTAGTCTTGGGGAATAATGTAGTAGCAAATAGTTCTTGTTGTATTAACCCTTTGAATTATAATATTGCGTTAGGTATCACTTCGTCCTTTCATGTCTGAATTGAATATTATTTTTCTATTATTAATTGTAATGCTACTGAGTAAACGTAGATATAGAATAAGTGTAGAATTTTCCTCTGTTTCTAATGGACTGTGAAATCTCTGTTGAGCGCAATTGGAAAAGAAATCATAGGGCAAGAGGTTAATGTAACGTTCCTTGACGTAAAAGTATTATTTTAATGTCTAATGAAACTTCTAATTGAATTGAACGAATATTAAAAATAACGAGTTATCAACAACGAAATGAATTTATCTATTCTCCTAAGAAATCATAAAATTATATAACTACATACTATACTTTATATATATCTTAAAAAATATGGAATTTTATGTTTACTATAGAATATATAGGTGTTTACTTTGTCAGTTATTATATTGATGACAAAGAAACAGTCTTCTATTACTAAACATCTACCATGAGAATTATAAATGCATAAAATCGGTAGATTGACAGTAGAACTACTAGAAAGGTCAAAATGACACATTCCAAATTCCTTCTTTTAATTATTGAAGAAACACCATTGAAGATCCGAGAAATAACTAAAGAAATTGACTTAGCAAGGCCTCAACTGAATTCTGAATCAACAGATGCACTCTTGGAGTTTCTACAGAAACATTTGAAAAATCCAATTTGACTGCTCGCCGGTTTTAATGTTGACAGTTGTATCTGAACCAGAAGGAAATCACTGCTCAAGGTAAATTGATGATCATCCCCTGCGCGTTACCTCTGCCCTGTTCATTTCGCGGAGAGTTACATACACGTACACGTTCCCTGTGCGTCAAGAATCTTCTTAAGCGAAGCTGTCTAACATGAGATTCAGAGCTTAGGAAACTTCAATCACCTCGGCAACGTCGGCGCATCTCCTCTGCCTCGGTTATTTCCTTTATTCTGTTTCCACAGACACGCTATTATGTTTAAGTACCCGAGAGTCGCCTGATTCCGATTTTCCCTGCGCGTCCCGCGAGCTCTAACCGGGTTGTTACTTTCCATTAACGATGCAACCACTCGCCTCATAATTTATTAATGTCCTTTATGCTCCATTTTCTCTGCCGAGAAACTTTTAACATCGAATAACTCTGGCGGATCTGACTAGACTATTATCATACGGCAAGGCTGACCAGTTATTCTCGCGAAAGCGGCAATTGGTTGTAAAAAAATTTTTTAATGGATATTTACGTGTAAACCTGGTAATTCAAACTTGTGAATCGATATAACAAATGAGTTAGCGGTTTGATCAGTAAGAATACTTGAAAATCAATGTTAACGATAAAATCAGTGAGTGGCTGTTATAGATAAAATTATTTTATGGAGCCAGTAAACGTGTTCGTTCTGCTTATCTCTATAAATGATTGCATCGAGAAAGCAAATTTCTGTTTATCTTAGGAAATTTTATCTTTATATATAATATAATATATAAATTATATAACGAGTATTATAAAGTAATTGATACAATGAATTTTAAAATATTGAGTATATGATAATATAAGTAATTATAAGTTATTAATTATATAATAATATAATTATGTATGAAGCGTGTAATATTATAATTAATTATAATAAAGATCCACAATTCTACAAAGCAATGAATGGTCCTTGACAGTTGCAAACAACGCGTATTCAAGAGAAGAAAATAACGTTTTCAATTCCACCTACCCCTCCTGTAATTCTAAAGTTCCCTAACGAGCCGAAGCAAGTTTTTATCTAACACGCTGATCGCTAGACCACCGGTTCACGAACAATAGTAACAAGCAAAAAAGTCACGGAACGGAAGCTACACAGACCCAAAATTACCCCGCAGTCTTTACCACGGCGAACTTATCCAATTTTCCAAGGCCAGGTCACGTCGGAAATTAATTTTCTAGATCCGGAATGAAAGTGGTATCTCGCACGTACTCTCGCGTTTTTCGTGTCGTCCGCGTCGCTAAATGACACGGACTCGTGTAACTGTGCACTAAAGCCGACCCTGTTGCGTTTCAGTAGATTGTAACATGAATAAACGGTTGTAAGCGTATGCCTTCTGTAACTTTAGGAATTCTCTTACGGTCCATGTTGAAAATTAGTTTCTAAAACTGAAACCTGCCGTGGATGATAATGATTATGTGATTTCCGATGATAGTCTTTGATAATAAAATACTAGTATAAAATGGTGTATTTTTAAAATCGTCGATTTATCGAGTTAAAGTCTGTTATCGTATTAAATAGAATTATTAACGCTGGTAATCATTGATGTAGGTCTATATCGTGATAATCGTGATTTCTGATGATAGTCTTTGATAATGAAATAGCAGGTAATGGAACAATTCTGAAAATGGCCAATTCATACAATAAAAATCTAATTATCGGTGTATTAGGATTGAATCTAATTAATAGATTAACACTAAAACAACCACTCAATAGTTACGGTCAGTTAAACTCTTTCAAATTCTTCTATAGAAACTCCAAGGATTAATTGCTTTTCAATTCAGTTTCATCTTCAGAAACATCTGTTATCTTTTTAATAACTACAAAACGAAAAAATCGGAAATAAGTCATTAAAGTCCATAGATTATTGCTATGGGTTTTCAATGTTCGTCTCTCCTTTCGTTTCTATTTCCAGTAACAGATATTTATCCTTCAACTGGTTTACCTTCATTTCATAACTAGCTATTCAATTAGCGTAATAGGCGTAAAAGAAGAAGTGAAGTAAAAATAGAATATTTTTAAGAACCTTGACATCTCGAGCGTTCGCGTAAGGCGTTAACGAAGGAAAAAAACACCTCTTTATCTACGCGTTGTCTCGGGAATCATCTCTCGAGCAACGTATCGTACTTCATACGCCTGCGGATCCTTGTTCCTGCGACGATTCAGGAACATCGGGCAGGGTCACGCGGCCTCTATGTACCCACCGACAGCGTCGTGTCAATAATTAACGCCCGGCTGGCACGACAACCACGCGCTCGCTCACCTCTACAGGAAGAGAGATCATCGACAGGTCTGCGAACATTGGCAGTTGCGATGCAACGTCAAATCCTTCGATTCGCCCGACTGATGATCCCAGCGATCGCTGGTCTTGGGGACCAGAGCGCTCGTTATCCGGGACTTTCCATTTACAACGGCTGCTTGACACGTGATACTAGAGCATCGTGACGTTTTGCAACGTTCCGAGGTTTAGTGACTTGAATAGTAATTTGGGAAGCTGGTTTATATTGGGTCATCCCGTAAATATGGTTTCTTATGTCTCTTTTATATATGAAGATAAACGAAACAGTTTTTAACCGAAAACATATTCTTCGTTATCTATAAATTGTCTGATGCATTATGATTATTTAGGAAAGTTTATCTTTATTTTTAAATAGTATGTTTGACTTCGTGTCATTTCGTTTTATCTGCTAATCTTTGGTATATGGTGATTGTTAAGAGCTAATAAAACAATTGTGTTCTAATAGCTGACACATAAAGTAGTTTATATATTTATATTATTGTGTTGCTAGTTTATTAGTAAATAAGAATATTAAGTAGCTATGGAACAAAAGTGGAAAATTGCTAAATTAATTACAGCATGAATTACTCATTTATTAACATCCAAAAGAGAATAGATAATATATTTTATTATATATTACTTTGATCGATAATAAACTTGAATTTTATGTACAATAAGAAATCAAACTGAAAGAAACTTCCTATACGAGAGATCGACAGAAAAAGGGTCGCAAATGTTCAAACGAAACAAGCAGAACGAATAGACGATCCTATCCATGTTTTCGTCCGGAAACACTCCTGT